TGAAGTTCTCTTGTGTGTCGTATCTTAATTTTTGCCTTTTTGAGGTGAAGGTAAGTTATAATATGCACACAAAGCAATGTTGATTTTCATTTTTGCCTTCAGAAAGGTGGTGCAGTTGTTAAGAAAATGCTGTTCACGTGCAAACACATCCTCACAAATTGATCTTGATTAAAAAATGTGTTCAGAACCACGTAAGTCCAGCCCAGTGAGTGATCCTATGGCGTAGGATAGATCTGATGGAGCAGCGTTTTGGTTTCATTGCTGTCGCCATCAGAGCGGTGTGTATGTTATGTCGAATGTTGCTTGTCTCCAGAAATGTCTAAAGGTAACGGTTTCTTCAAGTTTTGTCGTAGTTTTGGAGGCCACTATATTTTCTTCATGTGAAGTGCGTTTTAAAAACCCGTTCTCTCTCCTTTTCTTTCTTTCAATAGCATGAACTTACGTGAGGTGTTGAAAAAGTATGGGAAAGATGTTGGGCTCCATATTAAAGCTGTGCGTTCCTACAGCCAGCAGTTGTTCCTGGCCTTAAAGCTGCTTAAAAGATGCAATATCCTACATGCAGATATTAAACCAGACAATATCTTGGTAAGTACTGAATAATTGCAACTTCCTGTGCGCAGTCAGTTGAGTCCAGTTACGGATTCGGAGTTCACGTTGTTCTGTTCACTTGGGTGAAGTCAGAATTTACTTGAACTGAACTTGCTCCTCAGGTGCACGCGTCGATACAAAATGCTGTCGTGGTGTAGAGAAACAGAGGACGGCGTCGAAACACCACCTTTCCTTTAGTACAGTCTCTCAAACAAACCTGCATCCGCTCGTGTGCTCTTAGAAAGCGGATCCTGCAGAGTAGGTGCCTTTCTTAGCAGAAATCTTGGGGCTCTTTTCATCAGAGGTTGAAAAATGTGCTTGTTTTCTGCAGAAGGGAAGTAGGTCGAGTCTGAACAGAGGTTTTGTTTATATCCATGACATAATGGGGAAGAGTCCTCAAGGTGATGGAGCACCTCCTCTATGATGAAAGGCTGCGAGAACTGGGATTGTTCAGCCTGGAGAAGAGATGGCTCCGCGGAGACCTTACAGCACCTTCCAGTACCTGAAGGGGCTACAAGGAAGCTGGGGGGGACTTTTTACAAGGGCCTGTAGTGACAGGACAAGGGGGAATGGGTTTAAATTGAAAGTGGGGAGGTTTAGATTGGATATCAGGAAGAAGTTCTTCCCGGAGAGAGTGGTGAGGCACTGGAACAGGTTGCCCAGAGTTGTTGTGGATGCCCCATCCCTGGAAGTGTTCAAGGCCAGGCTGGATGAGGCTTGGAGCAACCTGGTCTAGTGGAAGGTGTCCCTGCCCATGGCAGGGGGGTTGGAACTAGATGGTCTTTAAGGTCCCTTCCAACCCAAACCATCATGGGATTCTATGATTCAATGCCTTGGGTTTTCCCTCCTCTCGGCCCCATTTTCCGTTTCCATTAAACATTCTGGTTAGCAGAGCACGAGCGCTACGTCAGAGGAATCAAATGTGTTTACTTGGTGAAAAAATCAGATTTTTTTAGGTTTTTTTCCTCCCTGTGAAAAACTGGGGTTTTTACTTTATTTAAAGCGTTCGCTTCTTGCCATCGCAGCAGTACAGTCTGTGTAGACATGAGATACCTGAACGGTGAGCTGGTTTGTGAGTGGTGCTCTGGGTGCTGGAGACAAAAGTCTAAACTGATGTAATTTCCGTGTCTGGAATGAAATCCAGCTCCACCGAGGGTATTTTGGTAAGGGAAAAGTGCCTGAAACTGACCTCTTCTTCTATTTCCTAGGGTCTGGAGACATTAGCTGTCACTTTCAATTTAAGGAGGTTTCATGGTTTCCGTAGAATAGAGAGAGGAAGGATTGAGTTATGGATAGAACTTCCAATTGAAAGGCTGACTGGTTATTTCTTACCTCTGACTTAAATCTGTTGTCGCTTTCCCGATGCTGCCGGTAATTCTGTCTGCGGGTAGCGCTCATGGATGTTTATGTTTGACTTCCAGGTGAATGAGTCTAAAACGATACTGAAGCTTTGCGATTTCGGCTCAGCCTCGCACGTGGCGGATAACGACATCACGCCGTACCTAGTCAGTAGATTTTATCGAGCTCCAGAAATCAGTAAGTAGGCTGGGGTTGGCCGCACGCGTCGTAGGCGGTAGCAGAACGTACCCCGTGCTGGCAGATGAGAATTTGACTTGAATTTGCTCTCTGTTTGGTCTTAGCAAAGTGTCACTCTGGAAATGTGATGGCTGTCAGAAATTCAGACTTTGAAAGTGTGCTTGTGTGGCTCTTCGTGTGTGGTGGTGGTCAGCTCAGTGAGGACAGGGAGATGGCATTCTGATTGCTTGTAGTTATGTTTTAATTTAGAGGTATTGTTCTGGCTTCTTTTTTGGTTGGTTGGTTGGGTTTTTTTACTAACTTAATTCATGTTGATTAGTTTGGGTGTCAGGTCAAAACCTGCCTTTCCAAAACAGGGATACTGTAAAAGTTTAAAGGCTTGCATCCTTCTTCTGCGGTGACTTCTTATTCCTGAGGGGAGGAGCACCAGGGTAGTTTACAAATCGGATTTGTTGTTTTTCATCTGCCTGGTTGTGTGATGTTCTCTCTCTTAAGGCTGCCTTTATGGAATTAACTGGAAGTGCTCTGTTTCAGTTATAGGAAAAATCTATGACTATGGTATAGATATGTGGTCTGTAGGCTGCACGTTATATGAACTTTATACAGGAAAAATACTCTTTCCTGGCAAAACCAATAACCATATGTTGAAACTAGCCATGGATCTCAAAGGAAAGATGCCAAACAAGGTAAGAAAAACACGGGTATGATTTTTAATTGATATCTGAAGCCGCCGTAATGAGCAGCAGGCCATACTTCGGGTTTTTTCTCCCCAAATTCTGTTTCTTGTCATATACGTCTTCTCTTAACAGCAAGTAAATATCAGGCCTCGCTCTGACTCTGTAATTAGTATTGATTTAAACTCTTAGGACGTGAAGGTATACAGCCTCTTTTTCGTAGAGTAAGTATAAGGGGAGGGCAGAAACCTTCTAAGCACTGACCTGAAAAGACGTCCGTGAGTCAGTGGAAGGTACTGTGTCCTTTTGCAGCTGGTTTGAACCGTGTGGGGTTTTTTTTAATTCAATCCAGACGTTTCTTACCATCCTTTTTGATATATTTTTCATCAGTATTGAACTATTCATGGTGCAGTAGGTTAGTAATGCTAATTGTGGAAGTGGTAAGACCCAGAGAACTTGCCTGAAACACTTGCCTCTCCCTCATTTTCCAGATGATTCGAAAAGGTGTGTTCAAAGATCAGCACTTTGATCAAAATCTCAACTTTATGTATATAGAAGTAGATAAAGTGACAGAAAGGGTAAGTCCCCTGAATTGCTGACTAACCTGTTACTTTTTTCCAAGCTTTCCTACTCTGATGGTCTTTCAAGTATGTCTGGACATCTGAGTTAAAAGTAACACTTTATCAACTATTGGGATGTCCTGCAGCAGCAGCACGGACAGCTTACATGGTTATAAACCGCAGCAGAGATCTTCCCTATGAATTAGGGATGCCTTTTAGGGAAATCCAGGTTTAATCTTGGTAGATATGCGGAGATACTCCATGTAACCTGTTCTGAAATTAGCAGTAAAGGAAGTCGCACCTTCGTTTCAGAGAAGGATGTCCCGCTTCGGCACGATGCGCCTATGGTGCCGGAGGTCACTGCTGCTTCCCGTACCATTTTAACGCAGTGTGTTCCCCCAGAGTTGCAGAAGGTAGCGGTCAGGTGCCGGGAACCTTCCCGCATGGAATGTTGATGTTCGCTGATCCCTCAGCGAACCGGGGCTGTTGGGTTCACGTGTGCAGAAGCTGCCGCCGGGCCTGCCCTGGCAACGCTCTTTCCACTCCTCTGCCCGCGTGAGGATTTTACGAGGCTGCGTGATGGGTGCTGCCCACGAGCTCGGAGATGGCCCGTGGAAAAGCTGCCGCGGAAGGGGCAGGGGTTGCGCGTCGCTTCTCTTCTACAAGGCTGCCATTTTTTGTGTTCGTAGGAGAAAGTTACGGTTATGAGCACCATTAATCCAACCAAGGACCTGTTAGCAGACTTGATTGGGTGCCAACGACTCCCCGAAGACCAGCGTAAAAAAGTGCACCAGCTAAAGGACTTGTTGGACCAGATTCTAATGTTAGACCCGGCTAAACGGATTAGCATCAACCAGGCTCTGCAGCACGCCTTCATCCAGGAAAAAATTTAAAACCAGATGAAGAAGCTCAAAGGGTTTGAGTAATTAAGATACAAAGACTGAAGAAATTTCCCAGCAGTTATTAATGTATATAAACATAAATATTTCCCCCTGCAAAGTTGAGGAAGAAATGATACTTTTGAATTAACATCGAGGCTGATATTTCTTTTAGAAATGTTAGAGTAATTCTGTTTTGTGTCTTACGTGAAAATTTTCACTGTAGAACTGTTTTAATTGCCAAGACTGCACAGAAGTACAGTGCTAATGTATATGGCTGCAGTTCGTATGTATTATAAAAAGGCAAAAAAACACCTGTTAAAAAAAAGGAAAAAAAAAAACCAACCAGAGCAGTAATACTGGGTGGTTGATTTGTTTTTAGCAGACTTGGCTTCTTTTTTTTTTTTTTTGTCTTGAAAAAATGGCCAGCATAAATGCTGTTTATATTCACGTTTTCCTAGGTGTGTGTGTGCAGGCCACAGCAGCATGCCCTTGGTGTAGTCAGTGCCGAAGGGGGTCTGTTCCTTCTTGAGCCTGCCCGCAGGGATGGCCTCCTCTTTTAAAGCAGGTTGTGTACAGCTTTCAGTACACTGAAGGTAAGCTAACCCATCCACATCACCGGTGTTTAAGCTGTTATGTTACTGGAACAACTGACGAGTGAGAGAACGGTAGCGCGGCGGCGGCGGAACTCCCTGCATGTTTGCTAAGCGACCTTGTTTTCTTTTCCGGCGTTGCCACCCTGGCGTAGTTAACGACTTCTGTTCTGTTCATCACGTTTCGAATTTGGAGAGCGCGCAGCCGATGGATAGAGCGCCTTCAGTGTACTGTTTCTTACGCCTTTCACTTTTTAGTTTTTAATCGACTTGCTCTGTAGGCTTTGTATACGTTTTGGTTAAGCACCGCCCGCTCCGACGCAGAGCCGATACTCGTCATGCGGTAGCGGCGTACGTTGGGATCGCATCCGCAGGACCTTATACCTAAAGGGTAGATAGACGAGAGAAGGAAGTTTTTAACTATTTGTATGTCATTTTTGCAAGTGTACTGCTTTATGCTAAAAGTGTTTCCTTTGTTCATCGTTTTCATTATTTGTGATCATGTTGTCTTTCAATACAGGCATAAACCTTCCACTCTTGAACAAAGCAGCTGCTTTTTAAAAGCGGTAATTGCTTCTTTACCTTTTATTTCTTTTGTAAATGAAGCTTTTCTTTAAGAAATGTGACTTTAAAGTGTTGTCTCTTGCATAAAACAGTTGACACTTACTTATTGTAAAGTGAAGATTGTTCTGCTGCATGTAAAGTGGACCATGCAGACTTCTGTATGTTTTCAGTATGCATCATTAGATAATAAAGTCTTTTGTGAACAAGGCATTTGTAGCCATTTTTAAAAGAATCTGTCTTCAGTGATGGTAAATCAGGTAATTTGTAAGAACTGCCCCCGCATTTCCCATGTAATCGCTTAGTTAGAGTCGTAAGCTTGGGAGAGCTATAGGCTATGTTAATTAGATATATGTAATTATCCCTGCTTTAAACCAAAAGCAAAGTGAAAACCCCTACAGATAGTGTCTGTCTGCTTTCACTGTAATGAAATTATTCCTGTAGGACGTGGGATTAAATGCAGGCGTTAACTAATGTTTGTGCTGTTTTTCTCACTTTTCCTTCTGATGGTGCTGAAAGAGAAAAAGGGAAGCGAGTCACAGGCCACTCAACGCCTACTCCATGGGTCTGATTTGCTGAGACACCACCTTCACCTTCCTAACAAGGTTATTTCTGACAGCATGTGTAGATAAACGTTTAGCGACGAGTTAAAGCAGCTTGAAACCTTTTGAGTGGGTGACGCAGCGGTGAGGAAACCCGAACCAAAACTGGGCAGGGCCTGTACTGCTGGCTTTAACGGTCTCCCTGACAATATTAAGAAGTTCGTCTTTTCACCTTTTTAATTAAGATACTCGGAAAAGCTGTGAAAACCCCACCGGTTTCACGTACTTTATCATCCTACTTTGAACTAAGCAGGGTTTTTGTGTCCATCTAGGTACATAATGGCAGCAATCACGCACTCTCAGTGCGCTCAGGAGCGGAAAAATGACCCAAGCAGTCATTCTGCTGGTGGGGAGTACCCCACCGAGGAGGTGTAATGAACTAACTCCGACAGCAAGCGGGAGATGGGTGGTTGTGTATGCCTATTTGGAACCTTCAGCCTGTCTCTTCTCAATTTATATCGTAAAATTCTTAATAAAGACATAAGCTCTCCTTTACTTCCACGTATTGAGGCCTATCTCAGTCAAAACAGGAAATTTAAAGAGCTGTGATGCTTAATGAAATACGTCCCGTAGTTGAGCAGCAAGTAGCAACTAGCACTTTCACGACATGGGCAGCGCTTCTTAGGGCGGCTTTACGCAGATGTAGCGGTCACTTGTTCTTGCTCTGTGCTCCGCTCTTAAGCTGGGGGTGTTAACCGAGCGAGTTGGTGGTACAGAACCAAAGCGGTAGAAAAGACGCCCCCTTAATGCCTACAGAACTGTTTTAAGCTGTTCCGGAGAAGCGTAAAGTTGCTCGTTCACTTGTTCTTTGTGTTGTAGGTGCAGCTCAAAAAGAAGACGACGGCTCCCGGAAGACATGAGCAAAGGTTTCTGTCCCCTAAAAAGATACGGAAAATACTCTTCGTGTAGTTCCGTCTTTAATCTTTTGGTTTCCAGCGTTCCCACTTAGAGTTGATGAGCGCAGTACCGATAGCTCCTGAAACCTACTGGCTTTCCTTAGAACCCGTCGCCGTAGAGGCGCTTGTTTCCTTTGGGGTTGAAGAGGATGGCTTTGTTTTTTTTTATTTTTTTTTTTTTTTTTAAAATCACCGAGAAAATAGGCGTGGCTGGTGACCTGCCGTTTTCCTAAAATGGTAGAATGGTGGCTACAAAACCGCAGTGTTTGGTTAAAATATACGCGTGTTTTGACTAGTGACTGTTTAGGTGGATGGTGGTCTTCTGTCTAACTTCAGCAGGCTCGTTACTTGCTTTAATCCTGTCCGGCTTGATGGCTGACGCAGCGAGCGGGGTTGTTCAGAACAAGCGGGTTTCCGTCCCCTGCCCGGTGTCGGCTTTGGCTGATACCGCTTGTTGGTAGCGACAGGAAGCCTGTAGTCCTGGCTTCAAAAGCCTCTGGAATTGAGGACTCTCAGGCTGCTCAGGAATCTCTCCAGTCTCAGGGATACCTGTCCCGGTGGGAGAGCAGGGCAGCTGGATTGCGGTGGCCGCAGCTCGGCGTGAAGAGGGCGGCCGTGCAGCAGCGTTGTCCCATTGAATATTCATTCCTCAGCTGATCCAAGAGGGAGGGTGACTTACCTTTTCCCCCTGGATGCAGCGATGCCGTTTCCGTCCTCACTCGAGGTGCTGCATAAAGTTTGGCCAGATGCACTCTGCTGAGTTCTGTGTCCTTCTCCCTGGTGGGTGACAGGGAGCTGCAGGCGTAGCACCCGTAGTTTGCCGAGCACCCGGAAAAACGAGGTCCCAGCCCCATGCAGTTGGAAGGGGCGATTGTTACCTCGGTGTATGCCGCTGCTCCTTAAACGTTAAGAACTGGTCAGGAGTGTTTGGTAGAAGGTAACGGTTCCTTTAAAACCTTTCTAATCCGTGCCTTATCTCCATACGTAGGGTAAGTGGCGCCGAACCTCCGAAGAACCGCTGCCTGCCCGTCGGCCACGCGCAGAAGGCAGCCTGGGCGCTACCGGAGACGGAGCCATCTTCCGCAGTACGTGGGGAAACCGCAGCTCGGGTGGAGGATGGCGGGAAGTGGCAGTCGCCCGAAATTAATAAAAGTAGGCGTAAAATGTGCTCGCGTCCTCTCGTCTGTTGTGTTTGCGGGAGGTAAATGCACCGAAACCCGAGCATCGGGTCTTTGAGCGGGGTCGTCTGCCTGGGCGTTGGTGGTGGTAAAGGAGCGGTGATGGAAGCTTCTTGGAGGGGTGCGGGTTTGTTGAGTTGCCTCTCTCCTGGCTTTGGAAGCCCTGTGAGTGCCGGAGGAGCCACGGGGGCTTCACGTTGATTTTCCCTGTACCTCTTCATCTTTCCTAGGGAGGCGGGGGGCAAGCGCGTAGCGCTGTATGGCGCCGAAGGGAGGCCAGAAAGGGTTACGGATTAACCTCTGCGAGAAAAAAACGGAGGATAGTCAAATGGGAGAAGGGGTGTGGTGGAGGAGAAATCCTTGTTTCTTAACTTGTGAGTTACGGGCCGAGTTACTAATCTGAGTAGATCCGTATGCCGTGGACACAGAAGCCGAACTGAAATGTCTCTCCTGGGCTTTCCCGTCTTAGTTTTGTTCGTCTAAACACTTAATGAATGTAATAAATTAAACTTGTGACAAATCATTACCCTCTCTAAATGAGAGGCTTGGCCCTTCCCCCCACCGCACGCATTTTGAATGCCTCCCTGGCTCAGCAATTCCCTCGCCAACACCCGTGTTGATGATCGTGGCCCGGATCTTTCTGCGGAGTGGGTACGTGTGAGTTCTTCGGTAGCGTGAACAATGCAGGAACGTTTGCCAAGATTCTCATTAAGTTAACGAGGCATAATGTCAAGCTACTTCCGGGCGGGAAGCCTGGAGCCTGTGGTGCCCCCACAGCAAACCTGCTCTGCACTTGCAGGGGGCACGCCCGTCCCAATCTCCAGGAAAGAGAACACCCTCGTTCCCTCAGCATCTTGTATCCCTTGGTAACAGGAAATGGATCTCTTTGTCAGCCACCCGTTGAACTGCCTCTGGTTTGCTCTGCCCGTCTCGGAAAGCCTGGCCAGCCCCACAGCTGCAAAGAGCCATCCCTTCGGACAGTTTAATGGACTGGGGAGTCTGATATGCCGTGGGGCAGAAGGACAAAGCCCTAGAGCAAGAGTGCAGGTGAATTTGGGTGTCGATGGAAGGACTGCCCACCACCGTAAGCCATCGGCTGCCTCAGCAGAAGAATGGCAACAGCCTGCATTTGACACGGCATCTCTGCTTTTCCAGCTGTTCCGTGGCTACTCCCGACTCTGCCACATGCAAAACTCCCTGGCTAAACATGGCAGGGAGGTGGGTATTGGCACAAGTGGGAAGCGCAGGCACTTCACTCCTTGTACCCTGACTGGACACGGGGCTCTGCAACGGGGTTGGTGCGGCCGCTGCCGCAGGTAACAGCAGAAGGAACCCGCTGGGAGGGAGGACAGTAGCCTGTTGCGCTGGCTGCTGGGAATCGCAGGGTTGTCATGGATTGAGCAGGATTCAGACAGGCTGTGAAGTTCCCATCCTTGGGGGCGGTTGGCGCAGGAGAAGCTGTGCTGCCGCAGAAACCAACCTCCCCCTGCGTCTGGCCGTGCTTTGTGCGTGGGTCTGGGCCAGGTG